CCCCCCCCCCCCCCCCACGCCGGGGCGCTCCCAGAGCAACGCAGAGCCAGATGTGCCCAGGATGGGAAGTGTGGGGCTGCAGCGGGGCCCCCCACCCCCCTACCTGTCCGGGGGTACCACCACCTTGGGGGGGCTGTGCAGGTACTGCTTGAAGCGCAGCTCGAAGGCCTGTCCCACCGTGCTGATGACGCTCTGTGCCAGCCCCTCGCAGCACTCCAGGATGTGGCAGGCTGCGGACAGACAGATGGACGACGCTCGAGCGTTTCCGCCATGCTCCCATCACCCCTCCAGGACTGCCCTAAGCCACCCCTCGTGCCCCCCACGAGGGATCCCCTGCTCCAGCCTTCATCCCCCAGCACATCCCTCCTCTTCCACAGAGCTCCTGGGCACGGGGGCCAGCGTCACCTCTCTGGTTGATGGGGTCCTTGGCGACGTAGGCGACATAGTCCGTGGTGTCCTGGGGGCACAGGGGGGAGCTCAGGGCTGGGGACACCGGGGCGAGGGGACAGGCTCAGCCTCAGTCCCGCGTCCTGCCCCAGGGCCAGGCTGCCCCACAGTTCGGCTCAGCCATAGGACCAGCAGCCCCAGGGGAAGGCTGAGGCGCGCGTGCCTCACCGTGTCCCCACCGGAGGCGAAGGAGATGGATTGCATGTGGTGGTTGGCGATGATCTGTGGGGGGAACACGGCCCACGCGGGAGTTAGCATGGGGGCCGCCAGCCACCCCATTCATGGTGGAAGGCAGAGAGCTGGGAGGCGGCGGGGCTGCATCCCTGGGGATGGCGCTCACCTGGCGCGTGGTGGGGATCATGAGGTTCAGCCCGTCAACGGAGATGTTGACAGCGATGCTCATGCCAGCGAAGCGGAGGTTGCTCTTGCCCAGGATGGCGAAGAGGGCTTTGTTGGGAGCCTGACGGGGGGAGAGGACTGTGGGGGCGATGCGGCCCACCAGGACCAGGTTTCCTGGTGTGAAGGAGGCAAAGAGGGGTGCCCCAAGAGACCCCAGACTCTGCCCTGTGACCTGGGCAGGCACCCCCAGCACCCTGTCCCACAGCCCCAGCTCACCCCAGGAAGGAGTCCAGGGAGAGACCGGCTGGGTGGAAACTCACCTTTTTCTTCCAGATGCCCTTCACGCCCGGCACCGCCTCATACAGTCTGTTGATGGCTTCCCTGCAAGCCACGACCCCCGGCCGGGTTACTGCTGCAGACCCCCGGCCCCTTCGCAGCTGCCTCCCCCGCCTGCAGCTCTGTGGGGTCTGGAGGCATCAGCCCCCGCAGCCCCGGGCGCCGCAGCCTCCCCGCAGCACTGCCCCACGTCATGGCCCGTGGTACGTAATCCCGGCCGGGGCCACCTCCCTTCTCCTCTTTCCACCCACTGATCCGCAGCAGCGCCCTTCATCCACGTCCCTGCGTGCGGGGTGGATCCCGTGGGGCAGGGGCTCCCCAGACCCTGGCCCTGTGTCCCCCCCCTCTCCACAGTGCTCCAGGGAGGGGGAACACGCGCTGCTGGGGGCTCTGGGTGGCCTTGGGGTGCGGGAGAGCGGGACCGCGGAGCCGTACCTGGTGACCTGTGTCCGGGTGTTGAAGTCGAGGGACCTCATGGAGCGCAGCACCTCGATGCACCCCATGTACTGCGGGGGGGCGCGGTGAGAGCAGCCTCCTCCCGCCATGGCCACCAGCCCGGGGCAG